GTGATGTTATCGTCATATTTTTCTTCTTTTTTCTCTTTATCGTTCTGTCTTCGTAGATCAGGAACGAGATATTTGCTGACAGAAGAGCAAGAGCACGCAATTGAGATTTTCAAATGATGCACAAAATCAAACAGCTGAAAGCTCTAAATTATTTAAATGATTCAAATTCCATTTTCCTTATTATTTTGTTCTTGTCTTCGTATGATCATCTGGAGAATTTAGCTATTCGCTGGAGACTGCAACGTAAAGAAATGATAACTGCGCCATGACTGCTAAAATTACAATAAATATAGTCGATGCAGTCGGACCGCTGATGGAACTCTTTAAACTAAGACACACTATTTTTCTGTTCTCATTGCTTTGTATTTTAATATATTCAAATGTGATTGATGTACAGTTGCATTTGGATAAATGGATTATAGCTACGGCAGAGCAGCAGTTTTGCATAGACTTCATTAGCGTTATGATAATTGCAATTTTTGCACGAAGTAATTCTGTAATTACTTTGTGAGGAAGGGAAGGGAAACAGAAGTGAGATTGGAAAGATTGTATTTATCAATTTAGTTGTAACTCAGCGATTCGACGATCAATTTTAGCTTAATCAAATGAGCGGTCATCCTGCCACTTTTAATAGGCATCAGCTAACTGATTCGCTTTTGGTTTGCAACTAGAGAGGCCATCTTAATACTATCCAAATGTCCATCTGCTAAACTTACTCTTCATTTTCAAATAGTTCGAACGTGTCATTTCATAACAGTCTAACATCCATCACCAAACTCACTACATTCCTCTTCTCCTCTGTTCACCGGAAGTCTTACCGCCGCTGAACATGGTTTTAACTGCAGTAAATGGAAGAACGATTACAGCAAAGATTATACCAGTTATAACGATCATTTTAACGACAGCAACAGTGATTATGATTACTAGGCTAGAATTACTAGGCTGCTCTTCTCACGCCTTGTTCATACCACTTTTTTTCTCCCTTTCCAACTTTCTGCAACAAATTCAACTTTCCATCTGTCATCTTACATTATTGATGAATATCCTATCCAATCCAACGATTTGGTTGTGTGGTTTCTATGCATCACTCATTGATCAAATCAGTAACTTTTTTTACAACAACTGGTTGATATTATCGCTGGTCGAACGGAACATTCTGAAAGGGTTATTCCAAGAAATGGGTCAGTTACATGAAAGAATCAAAAAATGCAGATTGTTAATCAGGCATACCTCACCGCTAAATCTGGGCAGTCTCTACAATGAACCGATACAAAAATCTCCTCCTGTTTTACTGAAGTGCTCAGTTTTACAAACTTAAAAACACTATTAAAAAATCAAACACAAGCATTAAAAAGCAGGCATGCATTTCATCATTATCCCCTGGGTTTGTTTATTGATTTTTTGCAACATTACCCCACAGTGCAAAATGTGCCGCTGAATGCTTTTCCTGAAGATCCCGAAAAATTGTATGGAAGGATTATGTAATACATAGAATATGTGGCGTAACAAATGAAGTAGTCATTCTCTTTTAAAAGTATGAATAGATCGTTATTTTTTTTTCTATGGAACAGAATTTTCTAAAGGACGATAATTTTTCTTCGGAAAAATTAGAAACTTCTGATTATTCTATTACAAGGCGGTGGGATTATTTCAAGTGTTTCGGTCTTTTATTGGAGTTTCCAAAAGCTTTGGAAGTTATTTTCTTAGACGAGATTTCTCGGTGGAGAAAGTAAGCTAATATCCTTAAACTGATTTGCAGAAAAGCGTAGTATGAATAATGTAACTTGGAGAATTTATGTGCAGTCAACAAGTGATAACTGGCAGTGATTTGCGCACATATAATTATTTCAACAATGAGAATTTGTTTTTCATTGAAAGTCAAAGTTTTTATAGGATGGAAGTTTATAGAAGAAAAAAGAAGGAGCATTAAATGAATACAGTTGTCACAGATTTTTCAAAATCTCGTGCTGCTTCCTCACTAATTATTAGTCCATGCTGACTTCCTGAATTAAATTCCCCATTTGAGAGATCCTTTATTTATCCGTACACATAGCTTTTCATTGGCAAGATAGCAATCATTATCGAAGAGTTTGAATCGAAAGCAGCAGGTCACTTTGACTTCCACTGCTTCATTTATTCCTTTTAATTAAATCATCTGTCCACGCAGACATGCCATCATTTTTCTTCCTGATAACCCTTATCTTGAAAAAGAAGCACCTTAACAATACCGTGCAGAGATTATGAAATAATTATAAAACATCGCCAGCTATAGCATAGTATGGTGAATTGTAAACCTTTCAGTTATTTCAAAAATTAAATTATATAGCAAATTTTGCCTGATTCTTCTTCAAATGCATAGAGATTTTCTGGTTTTTACTTTGAAATTATTTTTTATCATTTTAATCCGTAAAATTTTGTCATGCATTAATTTCGTTTCTAAAATGAACTTTAAAGACCCTAGTTGCAGAAACTGTATATATGTTTACAAATAACTGAAATTTACCCTCATCAAACGATTAACACTAAATGGCCGCTTAACCGGACAAATTTAATTCATCGGTATAGTTCGAATCGATAGTATTTGCCGAATATGTCTCACCTCATCATTCATCTAAAAAAGTTATTACACAAGAATTTTAAAGTGTTTTGCGGGTCAGTTGGAAAAACAATCTAAACCTTGCTAGTATGATAAATTTGTAGATAATTTATTTTACTAGGACATAGATCAAATACTTCCATTATTTAACCATTTAATTTTTGATACAGATTCTTATGAGGCAATGTTATAATCTCTGCGCTGCATTTGTTGTCTTGATGTTATTTATCGAAGATTCATCACAGTAACTCAAATCATTTATAACCTCTTCGGCTTTGGCTATATGCCGCTTTCTTGTATTTTTAAACTGACAAATGAACCAACTCTCTTCTGTATACAGTTGTGACCAGAAGGAGTAGGGAAATAAGTATAGCTGGAAGAGTGGTGGTGAGAAGGAACGGCGAGGTCCACAAAATATCATAACCTCACATATCATAAAAAGAAACATAAACGTTAAAAAAAAGGTTTGGTGGAACAATTTACGAGCGTTTTGTGTTAACGTAATATCAAAGAGCGGCCGCTACATTTACAACGACGACCCCCTCGTCCGAATACCTATCCGTCATAAATGCCCCTGCTGTTGAATTAGTTGGCAACAAAATGCAAGATATATCTTCGAGTTTATGACCTGGTCCTTCATATCCCTGCTCTTCTCCCTTTCCTCTTCTACCTACACTGCTCACTGGTACTTAATAATAATGATACTAAATGATAAGTACTTCCTGCTAGATTTATCACTTTATATCTGCTTCTTTCCATTTAAAACCGCTTTTCTTATAAACTTTCCATGACTTTACAACCACTACGTCCGATACGACGGAATCGATCTCTCGGTCCGATAAGGCACCTAGAGTAATTTTTGAAATCTATACTGCTGTCCCACGTTAACGAAGAAAACACATGTAACTTCCATTGCCACTTCTGACAACGTATGCCTTAACTTTTAACCAGAGCAAAATAGAATGATGCATCTATTTAACTGGACAAATATTTTTTGAGACTTGAACAAATCACAGAGACAGGAAAAGTGGAAAGTAAACCAGAATCTTTACTTTGTTTCATTTGATAATTCTAAATTCAACTAGACATTAAAGCAATTTTTTTGTTTATACTGCTTTTCTCTAATTTTTCTTTTGTATGCAATCTAATCTGTGCCGAATTTTCGAATACGTAAAAAGACAAACAGGGTGACAGCAGTATGTATACATTACTTACTGACAAAAATTTCCGAATAACCTTTATCCTCAAATAAATTAAACTAGGTTTTCGAAATCCCATCTTACCAAAATATTTCAAATTTTGTGAATTTAAATTCCACTTCTGAGCACAGAAATAATTAATTGGGTACTAGCATTATGAATGTTGCATCAATATATTCTTTAAACTGTTCTCCTTGGAAGCAATGCCACAATGCCATCCCTCTTTCTCTTTTCATTTTCATGATTTTTAATGAAATTTCACCAACTTAACTTTTGGAACAGTTTAGATTCTGTCTTAGATATCAGCTGTTCATACAAGCTAATTTAAAGGACAAAAAATACTGCGGTGTGAAAATCACTGAAAGCATTAAACCTGACATAAACCCGTTCAACGCTAGAAACAATGCTGCAATGACACTAAATAACATGCCAGGTTTCTTGCAACTTTAAGGTCGACCCACACAATTTATCTATTATTGTGTATTGAAAAAGTGTGCAATCAAATATCTACTGATGGTACTTATGGTAAGAAGCTGTTGAAACGAATGGTAAAAGTTGTTGAAAAGGCTCTCAGAAGCCAAATGGAAATTAAGGATCCTCTTTCGCGGTGAAAGCAGCGTGAAGAGAAGTATTAGCATGGGTTATTCTTATTCTCCACTCTCTGGCTTCTCCATCTCAGAGAGCTACTCAAAACAACGTGCTGATGCGATCTTTTTTCAAGTACTTCGCACATATCAACTCATATATACGGGAATCTATTATCAAAATTAGCCTACACCATTTTTTTTTATTTTAAAGGCAAACATTTGCACTAATTTTATGCAAATTTTCGTAAAATCAGTGAATTCAGTGCATATCAAGTTTTCATTAAGTCTCTTTTTTAAAGATAGCTTGTTTTACATTTATCGAACTTCCTGATTATGCTATTATGTTTGTAAATATTTTGCTCTTTCATAGAAATTAAGATCAGATTAACTAAACTGTTTGAATTAGACTACTGAATGTATTGTTCCCCAAGGTAGTATTCTTAAGGAGTAAAATTGAGATTAAAGTTTCGCTCTCGAATCCATATGAAATTATAGCTTCTTTCCAATCCTTGGAACACATTTAAGTAAAGAGTAAACTGATATCCAGGAAATAAAATATTGTACTTATTATAGTTTATGCAATACGTCATAGCGCCTCGAGGTTCACAAGAATTATTATATTAAAATTATTTTAGCTCACAAACTTTTTAATGAAAAAAGCATCTCGTGACTTCTAGTTCCTTAAATCGAAATGATTCCATAAAATTATCAGAACTACTTCAATAAGATTTTGAGATTCATGGGCAAAGATAAACTTATTACCTTTTTTGATTCTAAGTGGTAAAATAAGAAAGTAATAGAGAGTTACTTAGGCTCAAATCCTAATTACTCTCTTCACCTTTTTCCTTCCCTTTCATTCTACATTTCCGCTACGATTTAAACTATCTTTTCTGAAAAAGCGCACACATCAGCTTATCCGATAATCGCCTTACAAACTGTATGTTTTTGCAAAAGCCGCTGGTCGGCCTAACCATCATAATAGTACTATGCTTAGCCGTTTCCATCTCAATCCTTTTTGCTACACTTCCCGGAATTAATCCCTGCCGATCATCTATAACACATTTGTCATCGCTATTCACATCATCACTCATCTTCCATCCCCCATGTCCACTATTGTGCAACATATCTGTCTGTCTTTACAACCTGTCGCATGCAGCATTTTTGAGCTTTATGTTAAGCACTGGTCCAGACGACATTTTCAGTTCAATGATCTTTACAGCTTTTTCCTGCATCCTCTCCCCATTCTTCCACACACAGTTCACTTCAAAAAATGGATGGTGATCTATAATTCGAAATGCTCCTCATTCGGAAATTTCGGTAAACCTTTCGAAATAAATAAAAATTGTTTAGAAACATCATGAGATGCCGATGACCCGTGAGATTTGTGACCCTTTATTAAAGAAATTGAATCATCCAGCACTTTTGACAGTTTACTCGGAATAATGAAAGACAAAAGAGAATGGATTCACTGAAAAGCCCCTAGATTGATGTTCGAAGCAACGATATATATTTCAGCATTACCTCAGTAAGCTGTTTGGTTATCAGCTTTATCACTTATTCAGTCTAATCCAGAAACCACTTGTTCATTTTACAACTATCATTTCTATTTCTGGTATTATTCCATGCAATTCTAATTCTTCTAAGGAAACGTTTTAGTTGTGTTCAGAAGTTCTCAGAATCTCAAAAAAAAGCACTGCAGTTCAGGAAAAAACCTAAGATATGGCCGGATGGAATGGTGGATTGACGGTATCATTCAGGAAAGGTCATTGTAAAGTCATTTACATCGGGAGAAAAGAATCTTTGATGGAGAAGTAAAAGTGAAAGTGAACAAATTGCTGAAAGACACAAAACTGAATGGCTGTGTATTTATATGAATGCAATTCATATCGGATATATATATATATATATATATATATATATATATATATATATATATATATATATATATATATATATATATAT